TACTAGATCTCAATAAATTTTTGAAAGCTTTTTTCGGGTTCTCATTGGAAACATCATTAAGTCTTAATAGCCTAGTCGCGTAAAAATCTAGGTACTTTTACAGAGTCGGATGGAAAAGAGATGCATACATATAAATAACAGCAGATCACTGACAAATCTAGCGAAGCTTTTCTCTGAGGAAAGTTAAGGAAATTTCAATTCTCAAAAAGCTTGTACTGGCTATCAGTCACTGTGCTAACACATCAACCCACTTGATTCAACAATGCGAAGAATTACTAATTGGTAAAAATTTTGTTAAATCAATGGACAATGGCTTTCGTGTTACTTTTTAGATCAGCTTACTTTGAGCATTTTTTGCAAGTCCTGAGAGGTATCATTGACGAGAAAAAATGTAATGCTTTAAAAAACGCTTTACAGATATGGAAGATAAGCTCAGGATCAGTGATTTGAACAGCATTTAACTTCTCGTCATTTGTGAAACTCCACTTTGACTAAGATTCCTTTCCTAGAAGATTTTTCCTTCTTCTTCTGCATCTTTGATTCGATGTTGAGAATGAAATGTTATTTTTGAGATAGTAGAAGTCAAGTAGGCATGAAAAATGCATATGATGAGTTTTATACTACATTTTTAATCATCAAAATGTTCATGTCTTTCATTTTAGGCTGTTCATTTTTATGAAAGGTCTCTTCACATTCTTCTTATTCCCCCTTGGTGTAGAAGTGTATGTATTATCACCGAGTATACTTACAGTGCAGGATGTATTCGATGCCTACGTCAGTGGATATGGATAATATTGCAGTGATGATGCCCAACAAAGCCGACAGGAACCAATCCTCCACGAAGAAATGCACAACATTTCGATACTGTCCTGCAATAATGTAAATTAGCATTAATTTCATAATTGAACAAAGTATTTGTAAATAATGAGAATGACAGGCACTAAAAATGCTTGCTTCACCTACTTACCACCGGCATTTTCTGCTAAAGAAGATGCCTCTTTTAAATGTAAAATTCGCCGCTCAATAGAAGCATTTGAATCAAAGACATCATCGAACATCATTGTGCAGAAATCAATTGTAGGGAATGTATATTTTAGTAGGTTTTTTTTTAGATATACAAGAATATAAGCGGATTTGTAGGCGTTAAGAGGTATTATAGATTGGAGGAACAT